CATTTTAATGGCAACTAGCCATCAAGTTAGCCTGAATTTAAAAAGTGGGAAGGTTGCTTAATATCAACCAGAGAAATCCAGCAGGATCTCTGGTTACCATTGAAGAACGGGATGTACGGGAGTCTAATCTGCACCAGATGATTATGGGTACATGACTCTCTCCTGGGTGCAACTGCAGGCTCATCATCTGGTCTCACAGCGGCAACTAGAAGCTGTACAAATCGCGGCTACCATGGCCTTTTTTTAGGGCTAGGTATCAAACCTTAATACCTTTGGGGTACTGACCGAAATGGACAAATAGAGGATGGAAGAAGGAACGGTACGTTTCATTAGCTTCACCTCTGGTCATGAGCTTTGAGTAGTGACCGAAAGAATGATATTGCAGATACAAGCAGCCAAAAATGAGCTTCCATCACAGGGTCACTCAGCTCGGCATGAAATCCCTGTTAGGAACCAGACGAAGAGCTCCGAGGAGCCAGTTGAGCTGGTTGGGGTATCTGATCAGGATGCCTCCTGGGACCCTCCTTTTAGATTACTTCTAGGCCGTCCAACTGGGAGGAGGGAGAGACCCAGAACACACTGGATGGATTGTATATCTCATCAGACCTGGGCATGTCTTGGGATCCTCCAACAGGGGCTGTAAGACATCCGGATTACCTTGACCCAGACAACTGTAAGCAACAAGCTCACAAGCGAGCCTACCCTCGTTGGCTGTTTATTTGCTCGACTGTACACTGAACAAAAAGTCCTTATCCTTTTAGGTGGAGCAATACCAGGATTATTTGTCAGAGCTTTTTACCTGCTCGTCATCTTTACTTGGACTTTGAAGCCAGAACAAATCCACCTTTAGTTTGAGATAAACATATCTTAAGAAACCATGTTGGATCGGCAATTTAAAACACATTGCTATTGACCTAAGAACAAAACCAATAGGCTTGGATCCCTCCTCGATCACGTTTTATCTGGGATCCTCCAAAGGGACGTACTTCTTCGCGCTGCTAATTGTTCCTTATGTTCACAACACTTTTTGCTCTCTTGGGAATTTCAAAGAACCTTTGGCTGAACTGTGTATTTGATTGGCGGGTGGTCACTGCTGCCTGCGCTCAGACTTGGTGGAAGGGTTAAAGGGTAATCTGTACAATCCGATGGCTCAATCAATCCAAGTGCCCTTCGTCTTGTAGACTCAACTTTCTTCTTCTTCTGTCTCATTTGTATTTGACAGCATGCTGGCATGCGTTCTAACTGGCTTCACTTGAAGCCGCATTATTTTCTCCTGTTGTTGTCTTGACTTCAATGTGGCAAAGTAAACAAAGTGCTGGAGGGATTATGGGAATTTTACTGGAGTCCGCTGCAGCGAACAGATGCTAGTTTGGGTTTAGTTACTACTCAACCACTTAATTGTGTTACCTCGAGTTGTTTACTAATGATTTACCTACATCTGAGATCCAGAGTCATTACTGACAATGTGAGTTTGACAAAAATTTGGAGGTAACTAAATGTTCACAGATTATTTAATTGTTTTTACTAGCACTTAAAAACTGAAACCAGTGGGTTCCCTAGAATTTTCTAAAAAGTGATGGTTCGGAAGATGGTCAGTATAAATTAAATTTATTTAAATGATTTGTAGTTAAGTGGCACAGACCTTCAAGCTCACTTATGATACATTCTTATCCATTTTTTTTGTGAAAACATAGACTGCCTTAATTTGACCATTGACTCTCTGTTGTTTTAATCCACAAACCTCAATGTTCATCTGCCAACGTACACCGACAAACTACAGCATTTTCAACTGTTACCAAAGCATTATTTTCATCAAACCATCATGTAGCCTACATACTTCATTTGTTGGTGTTTTTTAATATGAAATATGCAAGTGTTTTTGGACTTTGTGTAATTTATTTGTATTTGAAAAATAAATATGCTAATACTAACATACTTAATACTCTCTTCCATACAGTGATAGTGACATGTTACTGTAGGCGACTTGTAGGGGCTGAACAAGGCGGCAACCTCCGGATCTTCCGAGTGAAGCCGATGCTGAAGTGTCTTAAGACTTGTGTTTTCTCTACTGACCAGCAGGGGGCGACTCCTTCGGTTGCAAAAAGAAGTCTGATTGTATAGAAGTCTATGGGAAAATGACCACCTTTCACTTGATTTATTACCTCAGTAAACATAGACCATAACACAGAGTATGCTGTAGGGCGGGCTTACTGTGATTGACAGGTCGCTGCAGCTACCAGAGCCGTATACGGCGTCTCTAAGTCACTCCACTGCATTCCAAATACAGTAACCCCCATTCATTGGTTGCAAAAAGGATAACATGGTGACGGCCGTAATTCAAGATGCCAACGGCGAAATCACCGAACTCGAGGCTTCAAAACGGCGGTCCAAAAACCAACGGGTGACGTCACGGTGACTACTATCTGCTAACCGATACCTCCATCAAAAGAGAAAATCCACCTTCCCAACAACTCCAAATCTGTCTGAGTTACATGTTGTATCTTGGTGCAGAAATATTAATGTTAAAGGAGTCATTGTGTTCATCAGTGGTTTGTGTTGGAGCTCCAGTCCTAAACACATTATGGGATTGCTAATTTTGAGTTCTGGCAAAGCTCTACTCAACTAAACCTTAATAATTAAACTAAATCTTGGTTTTTGTATATAGGCCTTCAGAGAGAAACTCGCTATAAAAAAACACTATATGGAGACTACGCCTAAATTAATAATAACAACTTGAATGTCAACCAAAGAGTTAGTTGAACTATTTGGTAGGCTGCACCCTGTTCAATTTAGCTATAATTTGTAATGTAATGTTGAAGGAGGAGGCCTAATGCTTTGGGCTATATTTGTGGACTTAGTTGTTAGTTTGTTTTTTTATTCACTGTGTAAATGGTTCTTGGTCTGAAACGTTTTGAGAAACAGTGCCTTATTTAAATTGTTGTCCTTGCGCTTGGGCTCATGGGTGTGTGTGTAATTTTGTACCAAGGAAGTTGGACATTTTTGGCTTCATGCGGCAATCAGCCACTATCATAGCCCGCTTCCAATGCTGTATCCAGTTCTCTTTTATAAATCCATGCTCGCAACACTAAAGCCTCTTTGTAGCTCATTTACTTGATGTGCTGGAACTCTGACTGCTCATTTCTTGACCCTTCCAACAGTTTCATCATGTTCCCAGACTTTAGTAGCTAACTTAGGTAGAGCAATGTTATTATTGCTGATGGAAATAAGCAACAAAAATAAATTGTACTAAGCCAGAATATCCTTTAATCTATCCCAAATTGAGCACAAATACCTCATTATAAAAGTGCAGAGGGGACACATGACCGCACAAAAGGACATCCTCACTACACTGCTGCTCTGCCGTTGCTAATTATAACGCACTCGCAGAGCGCTGTAATCCAATAAAGCCGAATCCCCACGACATCACGCAGCCACAGGTGTTTCGGCGGCTAATCCTTCACCACAGATTAAAGTCACAATGAAGACGCAACCAGTGAGGGAGGAAAAACAGGGATTAATCGGGTTTACTGAGGGGTCCCTTGGTTTTGCACACTGGGAGTTTCTCTCCTCAAGGATGTTTACGGAAAGCTTGTGTCACTTTGTTTTAACTTTAAAATAAGTTGAAATTCTCTAGTTTAGCATTAATGAGATAAAAGAGGCGGTTCCTTGTTGCAGCTTGTAAGTCAGGAACTTTAAACTCAACATTGTAACATGGGGCCAGACCAGTGGCGGCTGGTGGAAAATTTTCTATGTAGGGCCATCCAATCAATTTCAGCAAACATCCCAGTATGATTTAATGCAAAAAAATTAAAGTATCAAACACGCATTACTACTTTGCAGTTAAATATTTAACATTTATTCCAACACGAAAAAAAGCAGTAAATAACACTAATATAACATAATATAATATAACATGTTTATTTATTGAGATGCCCCTATGGACCTTGTTATAGGAGGTAAAGATCAGGAGAAGTAAACATGAAGTGTAATTATGAATACTGATGTTAAATTAAGCTATGATGAGTTTTCACTGTTAATTTACCATCTCAATTAAATGTTGATGCCTCCATGACCAACTTAAGCAGATGAGACTGAGGACAGTCTCATGTAGAAGAAAAGATGTTCACTTTGCCTAATATGTAGCTTGACAGAGTTCTCCATGTGTGTCCTGGTGTTCTCATGTTTCCTTACCTCCTCATCCCTCACTCCCTAACTATCCGTGCTGGATCTGTCCCCGTTGTTTTAAAAAGCTAAATAAGTTATTAGCATGACGTCATCTTGCTAGTCAAACCTGTCTGGTGTACAGCTAGTACAGAAGCTTCGCATGTACTGCTTCCCTTTCCCGCTAGTCTGCTGTCTGATTGTGGGGTCAGGCTGATCTGGGATCAGCTCTTTGGCCTGCAGAATCTCCGCCAAAGTTCTCCTCTCAAACGAGACTTGGAGGAGTAGTGCTCGCGCTGGCGCTCGCCAGTAGAGACTTTTGCAAAGAAATCATGTCACTTTTTTGCCGCATCGCATTCATGTTCTGTGTGAAAGCACTTCTGACAAAAACAACAGTTCCCAAAAAAATATTGACGCGCAAATTGATGGCACAAAAAAAAACGCCTTGTATTTAGGTACTTCACTTTAAAGCGTTTGATGTTTTGGATAATACACTCATACTCTGCCTTTACGCGAGTTAAATAAGAACATTGATAACATACTCCTATGTCCGTTGAATATAGCTTAGCTTAGTATAACAACTGGAAACGGGGACTCTTTCCAGCAGTAATAAAATCGACCTATCAGCACCTCTACGCTCCACGTTTTACGGGGGGTTATATGCCAGAGTCAACACCAGAAAGTTACTGGTCAGGGCCACAAGATAAAGCAGCGCATAACCCTCTGTAAAACGGTTTATATGAACAAAGTTAGACCTTTAAGTTGTCTCTTAAGTCTGCCAGCTTTATGGAAGTGCTACTTTAATAAACAGGAATACTCCTTCAATCCAAACTCTTTATTTTTACTAAAGACTTACATTGCAGCATACACAGAAAATCACAATCTACATAACAGAAGAAGGTCGGGATTGGGTGAATATTCGTAGGTATAGCTACGAACCAAATGTTATTAAATTTTAATTAATCTACAAGTAACAGCCTTTTATAATACAAAAATATATCTTTTCACATAATGTTGATGACAAAAAATAGGAAATATGATGTAAAGACTGTTTTACATGAGGTAGTAGTACAACCGCCAACACCTCTGGGTCTTGCTGAGGCGTCGTGGTGCAAGACGTTGAACGTGTTCACCCTGCTAATACATCAAACTATAAATTCACAGTGAACAGAGCATTTCTTGCTCCATTTGATCAACATTCAGCTGTTTTTATTTTATATCTGACCCAGAATGAACGCAAGTCCCTTATTAGAGAAATCTGTCAGACATTATTCGTCATCGAAGTCTGTAAAAGCAGGAAACCAGTAGCTGTCCTGTCTTTCCGACTGGCTTCTGGGTGCATTTGCGTTCTTAAGCTGCCGGACTTTCTTTATCCTGGAGATTTGAGCTGTAGCCAAGCAGATCATGCAGACCTGCCAGAGGAAACACAAATGGATTAGAAACTGATCAGGGCTGCTTCTGTCCCGACTTCGGTCTGGTTTTCTGTCATTAACCCTACGTTTCACTGAAGCTCATGACAGCCGGAGCCTGTTTACAGTACAACAAAAATGTTGTTGTTAAGCAAGACAATTTTTACATTTCGTAACTTTCAGAACCAGACTGATGGGACTTTTGGACTAACATCTTCAGCAGATTGCGTTACTTAATTTTATGAATTTCACAGTTCAACAGTAATGCACATCATATAGAATAAGTATCCCTGTTCGGGAAAAGCCTAGGGAAACAGCTGTGCACTGCACTTCAACAGAACTGGGGCAGTTAATCAGATATATATTAGCGATAAAATACACTTTGAAAACACTTCTTGTGTCACTTGTCAAAGTTTGTCGAGTGTGGAATGCGCTCATTGCTGCCCTTTGTGGCCAATAGGAAGAAAAAACACGGCCACTCCGACTGCAGTGTTTACCTCGAGCAGCAGCAGGCCGGCGGTCAGACCGGCCACCAGCAGCAGGTTGTTTTTGGCCCACCAGACGACCTTCTCCAGGCAGCCGATGGTGAAGACGTTCAGACCGGCCGTATGCTCCTCCAGCTGCTGCATCCCATAACCACACATGGTGTTCAGCACCGTCTGCAGAGGGAAAGTAACGCACACCTTAGATGTGAGAGGTATTTCAGATCGTTGTCTATTTGTTCTTCCCTCAAGTTCTGTCCATGTCCTGAACTGATTTTATAGGAACCCCCCCCCGCTCCCTCCCCCCCCCCCCCACGCC